TTAATTAAATGATAATTAATTAATATCTGAAAGCTCAGTTATTACACTTACTTCCAAAAGTTAAGTACGGAGAGGAAAATGCTAATTTCCGGATGCCAATCAGAATTGAAGAGGATGCAATTCGCTGCAGAGGTAGATGGAAATATGCAAATATGTTAGGTAACTGCCAATCGCGCTTTCATGTCAAGAAATATGCAAAAAAGGCAGTATTATAAGCCAGCCAGCTTCATGAAGGGTTACAGAAGTTGATTGTAAGTGCTGATAGAAGGTGTTTAAAACTTTCGTACAATTTGTTTTCAAGACATACGTGTTTCTATGACTTCCAGAGGATGAATGGAAGATTCTGAGCGCTCGCGTGCTGCGGTACGCATTGAAGCAGGACAGTCGATCAGAGATCTTGTTCTTTTCTTCAGCGTTCATCATTCTATAATTTCACATTTATGGAAACAATTCCAAACACCACAGACAGTTGTACGAAGGCCCGAAAGCCAGTTGCTTAAAGGTTACAACCCCAGCGAAAGATCGATATGTAGCTATTGTAGCCAAGCGGAATCGCAGAGCGACATCCACACGTGTGGCATCTATGGCTACAGCGTCCATTGATAATTCAATATCTGCAGCTATTGTATGCCGAAGATTACATATGAGTGGACTGTACACCCAGGTACCTCGAGTTTGTGTTCCTCTATCCGTCCAATCAAGAGGGGCACGATTACAGTGGTGCTGGGAACATGGAACAGGAATGTGTCTGACTGGGACAATGTCATGTTTACTGACGAGTCAAGATTTGCTCTGGAGCCATATGACAAGCGTATAAAAATATGGCGTAAACAACAAACACGCAATCAGTCCCAAAACATCACCGAACATCACGCATTCTGAGGCGGAAGCATTATGGTGTGGGCCGGGATTTCATTAGGATACTGCACCGACCTGCACATCTTTAAACGGGGTTCTTTGACGGCTGTCCGGTATCAAGATGAAGTCCTAGAACCCATTGTGAGATAGTACACTGCAGCAGTTGGCCCTACTTTTTGTTTCAATGGATGATAACGCATGTCCCCATAGAGCTGACATCGTCGATGACTACCTGGAGAGTGAAGGGATTGCAGCATATATTTCGTGTCCAGCATATTTGCCCTACCTTAATCCCATTAAAAATCTTTGGGATGCTCTCGACCGTGCTGTATCTTCACGTTTCCCTCCCTCCAGCCACTCTTATTGAGCTGGAAACTGCTCTACAAGAAGAATGGTAATTGCTTAATTCTGCGGTGGTTGACCCACCTAATTGAAAGCATGGTCACAAGGTGTAAACTTTATATACAGATGAGGGGGGGGATTACATACCCCATTAATGTCCTTTTTTTTTTCATTTTATGCTGTTTATTTTCCCTTTATACATAATCCTGTTTAAGTCTCCAGTATGTCATTATCGGATGATAACTTACAAAAATTTAATATTGTTTTCATTTCTGTATATAATTATTGATTTTTGTATGATGCATAAATATATATGCTACTTTCCTGCTGAATTTTGTGTCAATCAAAGCAGTATTTGTTGATTTTTTTCAGTATTTCGCATTTTACGTCTTCGTGCTTAACTTTAGGAAGTGAGTGTATTTCTTTAATGCAAATAATGTAAACATACTTACATGGCCGAAAAACAAAGATCAGTTTTATTACTTAAGTACCTTCTAATAATAGAAAAATACTCTTATTAGTTTCCCTCATCATTAAATACTTTAACAGATCATTAATCATTGACTGCAAAACATGAATTAATGTAATTCTGCACTGTGGAATTGTGTTCAGAACATTGAATGATGACAAAATGGAGCACACTTTAACAGATCATTAACATTGAATGCCAAAAATGAATTAATTTAATTCTGCACTGTGGAATTGTGTTCAGAACATTGAATGATGACAAAATGGAGCACACTTTAACAGATCATTAATCATTGACTGCAAAACATGAATTAATGTAATTCTGCACTGTGGAATTGTGTTCAGAACATTGAATGATGACAAAATGGAGCACACAAGAAAGGAAAGAGCTTTGCTAAGGTCCGAAGAGAAAAACATAAATATTCGTTCTTCACAAGATAAACTTACAATAATTGGAAAATGTGTCCCTTGTCAAGCGATTTTTTTATTTTGGGAGAGCTTTACGCTTATACTTTGCGGTATTATTTTGAGAATTATCAATTAAATTGCTTCGCAGGTGCAGAAATTACTTAATTTTTATCACATCTATTTTCAACAATGGAAACAATAACTATATTTCCATTTACTTCAGATACTTTATAACTTTCAACAGGACCTTTTATCTTAACACTAGAAGCATTTACTTTTACCTTAAAAAATGCAAGAAGTGGTCTACGATTCTAGCTAAACATTTCTCTGAAGATAACCAGCATGTATATACATATTTCAGATTTTTTCTTATTTCTGTATTATGCAACTGTTGGAATAGTTTAAATTTTCTCTTCCATTTAGCAATTTTTCCAAGATAGTAATGAATATTAACAATGAGTTCAAATACCCTTTTTAACTGCTAAATTTAAGAGGTGACAGGTGCATTTCATAATTTGCAAATATGAATTTTCGTTTTTTAAGATGCCTCCAACATCAGACTTTAAGGCTAAAATCCTGGTGCATTCCTGGTGTGGCACTAAGTGCTAAGTAATTATCCTGAAGAATTGCACTTTCTTTTAAAGTTTTAACAATTAGCTGTGCTGTTATTAAAGCCTGTCGAATCTCTTCTAAAGTGGGGACAGAAAGTAAACTACACTCAAATTCTGAGACTGCTTATTGCTTCCTTCCGTACAAAGGCAGAATGGAGCTGTTTTAATGCAATCAATGACTGAAGATTTATTTTTCATACCAATTTCTTCTGTAATGGTGGCCGTTTTTGTCCTTGCACTTGAGTATTTTTTATTTATTTTACTGGCGAGAAGCATTTTTCTAAAAAAGGCTGCAGTACGATCCGATGCATTGAGAGGCAGGTTGTGATCTAGTAAAAGGGCAAAAAACAGGCATTCTGCATTAATAACTTTTTGGTCCTTTGTTTCTCCAGAAAAATTTTATTTTTTATCCAGTACAATTCAGATTGTCCTTGTGAAAGCATACGTTTAAGAACATCAGCCCTTCCACCGTGCAAAATTGCAATGACAATTGATACATATTGCAATATTACACCAGAAAGACATATTTCCCCTCATTTAAACCCAATTGAGAATCTATGGTTATTGAGAATCTATGGCCAAGTTTATTAGCTTTATAAATAATCTGATACGCAACTCCAGCAGCCTGTCAAATGCACTCCAATCAGCATAGTCAGTATTTCTATGAATATTTTCCAGAGCATTATTAAGTCCCTTCAAATTCGTCTAGCTGCTGTCTGCACTACACATGGTGGTTATTCTGGATATTAAAGAAGGTCACATTAATGTAACTTGACTGAATATAAGATGACGTACATTTTTTAAATATGTTTCTTCATGAAGAAAGAGCAGAATATCTTGCATATAATGTTTTCTGCTTGATGTACTGAATGTAAGAAGATACCTGAATGGTCTAAATAACACATCTTGAGTTAAAATTATGTAAATATGCTGTATTTTAATTTTCACCGGAAAAGATATAAAATAAATCATTTTAATTATTAAGATGCATATAAAGAGTGATTAAAGATTATCTGGAAAACATGGAAAGGGCAGGTAAAGGGAACCAGAATAAGCAAATTTTGTGACAAAATTGTGCGTGCTGAAGTAGGGAGATGGGGAGGTGTACAGTTCAGCAGTTGGTAAAAGCATTTTGCTGGTGTGAAATGTCAGTCTCTATGTAGATTTTAAACAATATTCTACATAAACACATTTATGCATTTAAATACACATGCAACATAATACATTTATACATTTAAATACATATGCAACTACATAAACACATTTATACATTTAAATACACATGCAACTACATAAACACATTTATACATTTAAACATACATGCATTTCATCTGCATCGCTGTGGATGGAAACTGAACTACTGCTCAAGGGAGGTATCTGGGAATTGTTTTCTGTACCTCCTTTGAGTAGCTGCTAAATTTAGGCCACACCCCTATAAATAAAAACACATGCTGATGAGCTCAATATTTGTCTAACAAAAAACATCACTTTAAATCCATATGGGGAATAACAATTTCTGTAAGCAGAATGCTTTAATCAAACCACTTAATAGCACCTAGCACCTTGCACCACCTCAACACTATTTTGGCACACACATTTTGTTACACAAAGTGCTTATTTCAGTCTCTTTACATTTTTGCCATATATTTTTGGGCCCACCAGCAGTCAAGCGGTACAGTTGCTGAACACTAGTAGTTTGGCCTGGGATTTGAATCCCAGCAATGGCTGCATGGGCATTTTCATGGTTTTCCCCATGTGTAATGTGTATGCGAGTCGGTTTCACTTCCCTCCACGAAGGCATCCCTGCGCTTAAGGCAGATAGCTCTTGATTGCTTTGCCATAATTAAATAAACAAACAAAAACATATTTTTGAATCACCCTGTATGATTTCAGAAGGGCATTTATATATTATATTGAGGCTAATATGATATTAGAATATAAAATCTACCCAGTGCGCTTTCAGCAATTCTTTTACTGCTGCAAATTTTACACTTCATTTATCCACGATTGGTTTTATTACTTGTTTATCTGCATAAGCAAGTTATTATGCCCTATTTATGTGCTATTATTCATCATGTAAGTATAGTACCATTTAATACTATACTAATGTTATAATATTCTTCTGTTAAAAAAATTGGTTTCCCTACAGCTTTAATTTTTAATGCCAAAACAGAAATGAGATTAAATAAGCAAGGGGTGAAAAAAAGGTGAATGTTGAATTTATTTCAAAATGTACTTGATTAAAAAACAAAAATGGAATGTGCAATGAACATAAATTTTATTATAGCAAAAAGTGTCTATTAAGAAACTTACCAATTCTGGCAAATATCGGAAAAAATCAGATATTACATTAGATAATGATACTCTGTGAGCTTTTGGCAATGCAATTCTTGTAATTTCAAATGCTAAAGCAAGTTCTTCTTGATAAGAAGCAGCAGTGGCACATAAACACTGCAATGCTGCATGAAATGTTTGAGAATTGACTTTATCCAGTAAGCAGCATGCAACAGAATTTATCTATAAAGCAAAAAAGAGTAAGAAATTCAAATTAAACTAAAACATAAAACATAATAGCTAAACATACAAAAAATATCAATATTTTTTAAATGAGAAATTTAATAAATTTTATATTCAAGTTTTTACTGAATTTTAAAAAATGTTCATATTGTGAGGTTTCTTTAATTTTGAATTTTAGGTTTTGAATTTCTTCCACCACTTCTCGCTTTCTATTTTCCCACCAGAATGCAAACGAGTTTGCATGAATTTAAACAGAGGTTTTGAGATTGTTAATTTAGAGCATATTCTGCCTTCTGTAGGCCTAGTAGGGTTTGTTATTCTAGATAAACAGTTCTTGTTTTTGGTTTTGCATTTGATTGCCAATAGTTGAATTTAAATCTAGGCTGGTGAAGTTTTGAGCCAACTTCACATTAAATTCTCTGGGCAACTTTAGGCTATTAATTATTTCAATTTTGCTTCACATTTGATTTACTGCCTTGAGTTTCTTGACATATGGGGTGGCGGACATGTAAGCACCAGGGGTGCCTTCTGTTTATCTCATTTAGCATAAAATAAAAGGTCTTTTACACCTCTTGCAAGTTTCTGTTCTTTAGACTTAGCAATAAGTCATTTAATGTCTACATAGCTAACTACTTTGTACATTTAGTAAAGACAGTCAAACTCTACAGCAGGATTAAATCTATCTTCATCAACTGTAGAAAATAATTTCGCTTTAAGAAATGAACTACACAAGAAAGAATTCTTGATTAAGTAACGATTAAAATTGTTTTAGCTCCATTTGATTGGCTTTGATAAAACATATTCCAAATCCATATTTTTATATGGAAAAGTTCCAAGTAACTTTTCCATATAAAAACATAGATTTGGAAAAAAGCTCTTAAGAAAGCAATAAAAGGTTTATGATATGCAAAACTGGAGTTCAAAAATCATTAAATAACATGATTTAAACTATTTCCATTCAAAGAAAATAATGGTCATTTACAGGTCTTATAGAATTTAATTTAAATAAAAAAAAAGTTTTGAGTTTTAGCTTTTATGCAAATGTTGAATTTAAATGCTTTTAAATTAACTTTTTTCCGATGCAAAAGATAACTTTTAGAAACAAATTCAAAAACTTAATATGCATACCTGCCTTTAACAATATCTGCTTACAATCCCAAGAAATTTTAATCATAGATATCTCAATTTTACTCGTATGTATTCTTTTTGATCCCACTGTTTATACAGTTTTTTCCCCCCATCATTGATGTTTTTCCTACACAGTCTATGTAAAACTTTTAATTTCATATGATTTTACCAAAAGGTATGACACGATCAAAATTCTAGTAATTTGAAAGTTTATCCCACTTGATTTATTTTGTGCACTTGCTGTTCGACCGTCATTTGAGACTTTAATCATTTCAGACCTGCTGCAACTTGCAGTATCCTGTGCATTTATATTAACCAACCCTATTCCATTAGCTAGCTTGACAATTTTGTCAACATCAGCAATGGCTTCACTTGTATCTCTGCTTAGCTTTGGTCACATGTCCCTCCACACTCATAATCACGTCACGTCATCACTATAATACATATTTCAAATTTATGTTTATATATTTTTTTATTTTTATCCTACGAGGCATACACCCAACCATAATTTTCTTTCAAACATTTCTTGGTCACCTCATTCTAGGAAAGATTAATGTTGTCTGCAATATCCATAACATTGTAGTTTTTCCAAAAACTCTCTAACGGTTTGCTTATCTTCTCCATTGGTTTTAGAAGTAAGTTGTCGGAATATCTGATGCAGATAATAAGCTTTAAAATTTGAAATTATAGCTTGAATCATTGGTCAGATTAAGGAAGCTACATTTGGTGGCAAGAAAACCATTTTTTACTGGAATGCATGTTGTTAAATTGGACAGATGCAAAGGATGGCTTGGAGTATTATCAATCAAAAATAAAGCTTTTGGTTATAGTTTCCTTAATTTGCAGCAGTGTTTAACAGACGAGCAGAAATGTTCAGTAAACAAATTATTGAACATTTTTATAGTAAATCAAATTAATGATTACATATGCTTAATATTTGAAGATGCTATGTTACAAAATAAAAATAATTTTTCAAACGCAACACTGATTTTAGAATTTGCTAGTCATCATATTGTTACACACACACACACACACACACATATATATATATACAGGGTGTACCGTAAATGTTGAGACAAACTTCTAGGGTAGGTAGGGCACATTATAAGAATTAAGAATTGCATAGGAACCCACGCTCAGAAATGTCACTGTACACCACAGGGGGTGCTCTACAGGACAGTGCTAAATGGAAAGTGAGGATTGCCTCATTCGAGTGGTAGGCACCATACGAAGAGCATGAAACGCTATATGAATGGCGAGCTTGTAGACGTGCACTTAGTGTATGGAATAGCTGAGGGTAATGCAGGAGCTGCTGCACACATTTATCAAGAACGCTTCCCCGACAGACATCAACCACACCCCAGTTTGTTCGTACGTCTGCATCAAAATTTGTGTAACTACGGGTCATTAAGAAGTGGCAGGACAAGTGAGGGCAGGCCACGATTGACTTGCTCAGTTGTTAGGGAAGCAAATGCGTTGGATACAGTGGAGAGTAATCCAGGGACCAGGATATGTGCCATTGCTTCTCAATTAAGAATGTCTCATACCAGTGTCCAGCGTGTCTTGAATGCCGAGTCCTTCCCCACCTTTCATCTCCAAAGGCTTTAGTTACTGCTCCCCGATGACTATCCTGAACGTGTGCATTTCGCACAGTGGTTTCTGCAAGAAAGTGCCCGTGATGTTAATTTCCCAGCTTCAAGGATGAGGCCACATTCATTAGGGATGGCGTGTTCAATCACCACAATCAGCATTTGTGGGCTCAAGAAAACCCCCACTGTGTGCGGCACCATGCAGTATAACGCTTCAAAGTCAACGTGTGGGCGCGTTTGGTTGCGACTGCTTAGTCGGGCCATACCTTTTACCATTCAGGTTGAATGAAACAAATTATCTGATCTTTCTGGAGCAAGTTCTTCCGGCTTGCTTGACGATGTTCTACTAAATGTGAGGTGCAACATGTGGTTCCAACATGAGGGGGCGTCTGCTCATTTTGGACTGGATGTTCATGACCATCTGAACAGATCATTCCCACATCAATGGAATAGGCATGGTGGACCAGTTCCCTGGCCCCCCACATTCACCGGATTTATCGAGCTTTCATTTCCTTTTGTGCAGAGCCATCAAAAGTGTCGTGTATCACAATCCTGTTGTGTCTTAAATGGATCTCATGCCAAGACTCGCCTGTGCAGCTGCTACAAAGAAACTCCCGGTGTGTTTGAACATGTTCGGCAATCAATGGTCTGTCGGTGTCAGGCATGTTTGGCGTCTGATGGTGCAAACTTCGAGCATCTGTTGTAACACCATTTGTATTCATGTCCAATAAATGTTTCAAATGAATCACTCTATTGTTTCCTTTCTCATCTTCTACCTCTGCTACCAATTATCCCTGAAGTTTCCGGGTATAGGTTCCTATGCAATTCTTAATCCTTATGATGTGCCCTACCTTCCCTAGAAGTTTGTCGCAACATTTATGGTACACCCTGTGGTCTGAAATGCTTTTCTGATGTGGTAGATGGCATTGTATGGAAGTTCTGTGAGTTCTTCCAAGGAATTTTCATTTCACACAAGGATGTAGACTTAATAGGATAAATAATTATACGATCGCACAGTTAGCCAATATTTATTTAGCATATGGGGTTGCAGATTGTAGTGGACCTACCGCACAGCAACAATATCCTATGAGGCATACATCCAGCCATAATTTTTTTGAAAGGTAGCACCGGAGGTAAGCAGAAAACAGGTTCCTTTCAAAGAGCTGCCATTAATCAGAAACAATCAGCACGGACTCCGGACATCAAAGAGAGTGTGCTACATCAGGCAATGGGGATTCCCAAGTTTAAGTGTAGCATATGCAGTCAGGGTTTCCTGTTCCAGCATCCAGAGGATTTGCAGAGAAAACGAAATGCACCTGTTGTGGCTTAAACTTATACAGAAACTTTAATTACTGATTAATATCACTTTATTTGTTTTTTGTTGTTTTGAGATTGGCAACAAAAATATTATTCAATTTTTGTTGTTCTTGGAATGGCAACAAAATATTACTAATGATATTGTTCTAAAGAGTTGCGTAAATTTGCTTAAAACGAAATAAAGATTATTTTTGAGCTAAAATGTGGATTGATGTTATTTGATGAAACAGAGTGGTAAAATAAAGATTACTATAGAGTCAGAGCCAATACACCCATACCACATCCAGCTACTTCAAACGGGTGATTATGCACCTCATATAGCATTCACACAATGGTTTCTAGGAAAGTGTACTATATGTCACCATTTCCCTGCTAATGTGCTGTTAACAGATTAGACATCTTTCACAGGGAAAAGAATATTCAACACACATAATGCCCATCTCTGGGTGGTAAAGAAATTGCAACATGACATCATGCAGCACAGAGATGCTTTTCGGTTAATGTTTGGGTGGGCATTGCGAGGAATCACCTCATCGGACCTTATCCATTGATTTTTTTGTCTAAGCGGTTGTAACTATTTGATCTTTCTCCAGCAAGTCATTCTGCAACTTCTAGGTGATGAATAGATTTCTGCATTGATGTGACAGACAATGGGGTTCCAACACAATAGGGCCCCTGCCTATTTCAGCCATAATGCTCATACCCACCTAGAAATCAGATTTGGCCAAAAGTGGATCAGACATGGTGGTTTGGTGAGTTGGCCTATTTGACCACCGGAAAATCATGCCTTTATTTTATTATTTTTTTTAATATATGAAGGCATATGAAGACACTGGTTTATGAGATCCCCATTGACAAGGAGCTGATTGCACAAATCACAGTAGCTGGCAGGGAAATTCAAAATATGGGATATTCCAGAATGTTCAGAATTCCATGTGCTGTAGATGTGAAGCGTGCTCTGAAGTCGGTGGACCAAATTTCAAACACTATCTTTAACTCATGTTACTTTTGTTCATGTAAATTTATTATTAAAAAGAATATAATTTCTGATGTTACTGTGTACACCAGCACATCAGGAAAGCATTTTTGACCCTGCATTGCTATTATTCTGAATCACTGAGGTGCACCCTACCTGTGCTAGGACTTATGAAACCTGGTACTGAGAAACCCTGTATATACATATATAAACTGGAGTATATACATGTATATATAAACTGGAGATCAGCCCCAAATTTTCCTTTATGAGTTAATTCCTATTTTATATTAAAACACAGAAAATATTTTAAATACAGTAAAAGCTTGAGTATCTTAAAAAGCTTGGGAAATGCCAAATTCTGGATACATGAAAATCCATTATTGGTGCTAAATCACGCTATTTAGTGACAATGTATATATATTAAGAGTATTGTAAGTATATAATGATCTTATAAATCTGACAATTACAAAATTTTTCAGGAGAATTTTTTTTCTAAAAAGTTATAATTACTTGAGCTTTCTGGCAATTTTACTGCAGAATGAAAGCAAATTCCTCTCTTTTTTCACATTTGATTGAAAATAAATTCTGAGATGCTGAGATATTTAGCTTCACAGACTAAATTATGAATTTGTAACTTATGTATTTACTGCTGTCAAAATAATACAGCTGCCACAGTAAACATTTAACCTGATTAGATTTTACATTCAAATTCATAAGAATTTTAAAATTGACAACTTACAGTTGCACAAGGTCCAATTCTTTTTATATTTTCTATAACTTGTTTATCATCCTCGTATAAATCTAAAACAGAAATAAATGTATATAATTTAAAAAATTTCATGACTAAAACTTATTGGTTTGCATTTAACTGCAAAATAATAATAATAATTTTTAAAAAAATGTGATTTCAAATAAAATTAAAAGCTTCTTTTCAGTACTACAAACACTGCTATAATAAATCTTCACAAAACCAAATTTTTGGTTTGCTGCATCTGATTCGATAAGAAAAATGGATGATCTTGCTAAAAATTGTAAAATTCTACAAAAGAGTCAGTTAAAAAAAATCATAATTAGACACATTAAGAACTGTGAATAATGATTTGAAAAAGTCCTATTAAGGATCAATTATAATTATTATTGCATACAGTGATTTTTTTCTTCCTTTTTAACTGAACACTATGATAATACACAATAAATCATTTAATACTAATATGATTCAGATTCTTCCCTCAAAACATACATCTGCAACTATAAATATTTATTTTCTGTACAAAAATATGAATTGATTAAACATTACTAACAAAAAAATACTGATTAATTAAATTTTATATAGTACATGAGTACAAAAATAACTTTTAATCTGCTGCTAACATGATGCAGATTGCAGGAAAATTGTACCTATCCCCAAACTGAAACAATGTCATTATTCTTGACTTCACATTTTGTGTGAACAAAAATTTATTAATGATATGCGTTGCTGCCTTTGTAATAAACAATGGCTGAAACCACAACTATGGCCTACGTATTTTTTCACTTGAGGCAAAGAGGTAAATGTTCACTCCTACATACAACGCACAATGTCCTGTGTTTCTGAGAGAGGGGTAATATACTTCAAAAGTTCACAGACTGAGTCTATAACATAATATTTTTTTGCAGCAATGTGACCACGAGAATTTTTTTGTGTTATTAAAAAGTAAGTTACTTTTTCGTGTTATGTTCTCTCCCTTTTCTAAAAGTGGTTTGTCCCAAATCATGTGGTCGAAAGCTCGTGACGACAGAGTTTTTGTACACAAATGCATTTAGTAACTGGCGATAGAAAGAAATGGTGTCAGTTGAGCAGACAATCAATATCAAATTTTGTGTTCGCTTGCAAAAGAGTACTACGCAGACTTTTAAGATGTTGAAGCATGTGTACGGAAGTAAAACGTTATCGAGAATGTAAGCTTTTGAGTGGCATCATTGTTTCAGAGAAGGGCAGGGAAAGTACAAAAGACGACAAGCGCTGTGGCCATTCCGTGAATTCACACATCGATGAAAACATCAAAAAGGTGTTACGGTGGTATATGCGAACAGGCAGCAAACAATTAGCCAAATAACAGAATCAGTTGGGATATCAGAGGCCACATGTCAGCGCATACTGACTAAGGATCTTAAAATGCATATGGTGTGCAACACATCGTTTCCTGCATGTTAAAAGTAGACTAAAAGGGATTTCGAATGGAAATGGCAGGAGACTTTGGTGGAGAGGGAAGGATCTTTGTCTCGGTTGTTGACAAAGATTCTTCCCTACTTGGCAGAATTGTTATTGGAGACGAGAAATTGTGTTTTTTGTACAACCCACACACCAAGAGAGCATTTGCAACGAGGAAATCACCGCAATCTCCACAGAAGCAGAAATTTCACCATGATCGCTCTAAAGGAAAAGTCATGCTAGAGGTATTTTCCAATATATCCATGGCATTGTGTATCTGGAAGTTATCCCTGAAGGACGCATTGTTACCAAAGAACTCTATGTCGAAATCCTGCGTCGTTTGCATAGGTCGATCCAGAAGAAGAGACCAAAAATGTGGGCCAAATGACTTTCTTGCGAAAACAAAAACAACTATTTTGCCTCATCCTCCTTACTCACCTGATCTTGCACCCTATGATTTCTTCCTATTTCCTGAACTGGCAAGATGCTTGCAGGGTCATCAATTTCAATCTTCAGATGAAGTTAAATGTGCATTGCAGGCTGAATTAAAGGACATGGTCAAAAATGGATTCCAGACATACTTAAATGAACTTTACAGGCGTTGGCAAAAGTTTGTTGTTGCAAAGGGTCTTATTTCGAAGCAGGATGTGTTTCTGCAATTTAATTCATAATATTTTTTACGTTACAGGCTCGGTTTGGGAACTTTTGAATCCTACCTCGTATATATATATGTGTGTGTGTGTATATATTATTATAAATTTTGCGGAGACTTGATGATTCTTTTGGTGTATATAGAATGACAGAGTTGCATAGATTCATAAGGTGCATAAAAAAAGAAAAACCTGCAGACATAGCATGGATTCAACACACAAATTTTATTCCTTGCTAATTGATTCTTAGGACACATAGTATTCTTTTAATATCATACATATAAATGGAATAAGCACTCCACAATTTAATATATCACAATAACTAATCCCACTTTTAGACAATGGATGAAGCAAAGAAATAAGCAACACACATTAGCATAGTGAAAGGAAGCCAGGAAAAGTGAGTGCACACTTCAACAAAGGGGCATTTATAGTACTTTTTGCTTTAAATTTTGGGTTGCAACTGGATAAAAACTATCCATAATTCGTAACATAAAAAATCCTGTGCAACTGCTGCTAAAATTGACATAAAACAATTCTTTAATTAACCTAAATTAACACTAAACAGGCAAAGAATGAACTAGAAATCCAACTTTTAAAATTATGTAAAGTTAAATGCTATCTATTATTTTAATATGGTCCGAGTAGGAATAGTATGTACAATTATAAAAAAAAAAACACAATAAAAATTTAAAAATACAATAAGAATAAAGCTGTATAATCACTGACAAACTCGTAAGTTTTCAAAACTGCTTTTTTCTTGTATAATCAGTTATGTTTCAAATGTGAGTTTGGCAGTGATACAAATACCGAAAATCCGCCGACCTGAAATCTGTGCTGCCTCTCAAAATATAACCATTCATTTTATGGGTTCCGGAAACTCCAACATTGAATACGAAATATTGAAGAAAAAATACTTACCGAATAATGAACGTTATATTTACAGAATAATAATGAGTCATAAAGGAAATACCAAATTATTGACATAAAAAAAAAATAAAATAAATAAGATAAAAGTTTTCCCCCTCTAATCTGCATCGAGGTAAAAAAGAAGACAATTCACGCAATTCTTCGTTCAAGTTCACGATTCACATTGCTGTATTTTCTGAGCTTTGTTATTTCACGAGATTGTTTAGTGCTGCCTTTTTTTTTAATCCAGATATTTTGTGGATAAATTAAGAATATTTTAAATTTCAGCCTTTTTTAATACAATGACAGATAAGAAACGCACTCATGATTTCACTGTTTGCAACGTCAAAAAACGTAAACACTTTGCATTGACGGTAACGCAAAAAGTGCAAATTCTGCAGGCAGGTGCTACTCCTCGATTTATAGCAGAATGGTATGGAATTGTGGCACGATTGTGTATGATATACGGAAAAATAAAAAAAGCTGATGAAATTTTACAGCAACAGCGATTCTAACAACGGAAATCTTTGCATGAGGCGAAATCGGCAAACCTCGGTGCTATGTACATATAATACAATGAATAATATAATCAATTTATATATGTAATAATAATTTAATGCGTATAATAAATTATTGCAATAATGTATATAGTAATTTAACTAATTGTATCTAATACACCTTATTTATTTTGCACTTTTAGTCTGAATATTATGCTTCATCTTTTCTGTCCTGAAATCCGCAAAATCCTAAAACCCGCACAATCTCTGGTCCCACGTTTTGTGTATTTCTGGACTTCTACTGTATTATTATATATATATATATATATGGATGTATGGTGTGTGTGTGTAATGATTTTAAAATGTGTAGATGAAAACAGTGGAACTTTTAACAGCTTAGATACTGTGTAGATGACCGAGAATACCGTAGTGGGTTGAAGGTTTCAAAGTGGAACGCATGATGACACAATTTAGAACAGCATAATAAAATCACAATCTTTATTTTTTTTACGTATATCAAATCATCCTTTTTTCAGACAAGATGTTTCCTAATTATATTTGAATCAGAAGTTGCATTTTGAAGTACGACGTCATCTTTAGCATGTAAGCGGCAGCAGCATGGATGAAAAGCATCTTGCCAGTAGGAGAGCTTATGCTAAAAAAGGGAAGAGTATCATAGAATTTCAGAGTTGCAGAGGAAGAAGGGTGGGAGTCAGAAAAGTTTCAGTTCAGGGTTTTGGTTTACAATTAATTTGATTGGACAAGACACATCTGCATTAAAACATTACGCAAGACAGAAAAATCTGGAACTTGTGAGAAGAGATGAACCCAGGGGCAGATCACCAAATTTAGAATGTTAATTTTGAGGTCGCCAATAATTTTTTTTTTGAAACAGCTATCATATTTTTTTATACCTTGTATATATACAGCTTTTTCCTTACTGGGTACTTTGTAAATATTTTTACATATTACTTTTCCAACTCAGTCCTGTTTAAAACAATGGATTCCACTTAAATTACTTAATTTTCAAAGTGTTCTACAGTCAAAAGTCGTTAATCCGGACTCATCGGGACTTCAGCGATTCCGGATTATCGATTTTTCTGGATTATAGATCATCAGTTTAAATCTTGTAAGATGGCATGCAGAAATTATAAAATTAAAAATATGAAACCGTAATTTATGAAATAAAGAACAATTATGATCTAAAGGGTATCCAAATTTACAAAAAAAAAAAAAAAAAAAAAAAAAAAAAAAAAAGCTTAATATTTATTTGTTTACTTTATTAAACATTTCTTTCAATGTAAGTTGTTTCGTTTTTTATGTGATAATACATTCTCTTTAATTTTATAAACAGACATAATTTCTTGTTCAGTTACAAAGTTCCACTGTTCAAGTCCTATAATTGTTGTGTTGAGAATACCAACTAATTTGTCAATTGAAATTTTTTCGTTTTCAATAACCTCTGTAACTTTCTTCGCTATCGGAAGCGAATTATAATGACGAGGAATTTGATTTAAATCATATCAAAGACGGAGTACATCGATATCAAATACTACATTTAGTAAGGAATTATAAGCCGAAATAAAATAAAAACATCTGCCCTGAAGATAAGGATAGTACTGACAGACCAACTTCCAGTTCATTGCACGTCGCGACGCCCCTCCCCCTGCAGAGCAGCGTAAAATTGATAAACAGATTTCGGACTGGTTAGATAAACAAAGGATTATGGGTGTCCTTTATCCATTTTTTGCAGCAATTCCACTTTTTGTTTAATGGACTTCGAAACATAGTTCCACTTTGTAGATCCTTTACATATTAGTAAATATATATCAGAAATTCTATTTGACATAATCGAAAGTTCAAGCTTACTTTTATAAAATTGCTCTAACAGTCTGCAAAAAATAATAAGCCGAATCCAATTCGTAGATAAAGGAACAACGCAATCTGCAACATTAACTGAATAAGATAATTTTAGTTTAGCTTATACCATCCGTTATACATTAAACACGCATTTGTAAATGTATTTTGCGCACGTACACACTCGTATTCACAGCCGTAAAGATTGTTGGAAAATATGACCTATTGTAACCCTTTTTCTGCATCATCTCTCCTCCTTGAAATATTTATTAGGCTTAGTTCTTATTTTAAAGGGATATAGTTACTTCTACTTCGTTTTTCCACTGCCACTGTTTTGTGTTGAGAACGGAAGTGTTTCAACCCTAATTAAGATGGAAAAACGAAACGTGATGTTACGTCATCTGGAAAGCCGAGTCGTGCTGATAGCGATTGGTTGCCGTGAGATGACGTCATGCCTACTTTTGGTATAAGTATCTTGCGTCGCTCTGGCTCATTCCAATAAGAAAACGGACAAAAGATGATGAAAAAATTAGGGCTAGCCAAATGATTACTAAAAGTTTAGAATTAGAACGTGAAATCAATTATTAACCTATGCCAACAATGAAAAACCATCAGATGAAACATAAAGAAACTAAAAAAATGATTTAAAAACAGAATTAGCAAAATTATTTCCGAATGCCCAAAACACGAAACTTCATATATGAAGCCATCAGTAGATTTGTCAAACCAATAATGATACCTGGACCGCTCCCAGAAAAGAGCACGAAATCTTTCTAACGACAAACCCCCTCCAACACAACTTTCAAATCAATCGACGCGCTCACAATAGATCAAAACTTAGATAACCAAGTATGGAAGATAACGATACTAATAATGATTCAAACAATACCTACCCTCAAACAACACACAAACGGCCAAAAATACCACCCTTGTCATAACCCAGGACATCAATTGGAAGAAATCAGAAAGATTTTATAAAACCCTCATTTGGAAAATTCGAAGCCAAAATCGAAGGTGAAAACTTCGTTTAAAAGTTACCAGCATGAAGATTACAAAGCAGCACAAATTACTTGAACCAAGCATATCCTACACACCTATCTTTCTACATTCGGATAAGCATTGAAAGGAGTACTAAAAGGTTTCTACCATTACACAATAGAAAGATTAAAGAAGAAATCAAGAATTACAAATCCCTATCATTAAAGTTATAGCATGGTGCGCATGCGCGACGGAATCCCCACAGAGCTTCCAATGTTACATCGAAACCTAACAATCCCTCAGGCAAACGATTTCGATATCAAATACTCATGGATATGAAGGTCAGAATTGTTCCTTATAAAGGTAGGCCCGGACCGACACAATGCTTCCAGTGTCAACGGTACGGGCTACCCAAAAAGCATGCCACAACCGCCAAGATGCGTCAGTTTAGAACAACATCATCTTTTGAATGCCCGCATAAGGGGAAAACTTCACGCCTCATGCGTACTATGCCAAGGCTCACATGCATCTTGCGACAAAAAATGCCCGGAGCACCCTCTTAACAAAATATCCAAACTAAAAATATCAAAATCAACCATCTTCAAGTGCTATGACTGAAATCAAAAACCACCAGTACTAGAACCAACAAAAATTAGAGAGCCAATATAAACAGCCAATCATACGCCGCAATACTCTCTGGTCTAAAACCCGACAAGCCT